CAGTAAGCCAAATGAGAGAGAGAGAGAGAGAGAGAGAGAGAGAGAGAGAGAGAGAGAGAGAGAGAGAGAGAGAAACGGGAGAAAGAGAAAGAGAAAGAGAGAGGAGGGAGGGGAAGGAAAGGGAGTGGGAAGAAGAAAAGAGAAGGAAAATAATTGTAAGTGGTAGGAACTAAGAACAGAAGGGAAGGGAAGGGAAGGAAGGGAAGAGAAAAGAAAAGGAAAAAAAAAAGAAAGAAAAAATCGAACAAGAAAGGACAAGACAAGGGACTCTCCCTCCCTCCCTCCTCCCCTCCCCCAGCCTTCCACAACTCACCCGCACCTTCTTCTACCCTCCCACCCACCCTCCACCTACCCCCATGCCCCACCCCACCCGACGCAATTGCCCGAGAGCCTTCGCACTGGCCCGCGGACGAGACGGGGCGACGGCGGTGCCACCCCGGCGTGCCCCGACGGATACGGCCGCCTGCCCTTCGGTGGCCGCTTGCAGGATTAGGGGGGTGGGGGGCATGAGCCAATACACCGCGAATTTTCCTTCTTTTTTATCAGTAAGGTCATTCTTTTTTGCTTGATTTGATTTTTTATCTATTATTTATCTTATATATATGTATATGTATGTATATATATATATATATATATATATATATATATATATATATATATATATATATATATATATATATATATATTTGCGTGACAGTTGTAGCTGTGGCAGCCATACTGGACAGCGGCGAGGCAGCCTTTAAATAAGCGAAGACAAATGACGTCGTTTGTAAAAATCACGACGACCATTGTTATCGTTGTGGCTGGCACAGAATTAACGGCAATAACGACAATAATGAGGATGATGATGATGACGATGATGACGCTAACGTTACGGCTTCGAGGAATGGCTATTGACTGGCTTCATGTGACCTTCATTAAAGAAATATCAATTTACTTCCACTTACTTATCATATATTGCCATTTCCTCATTCCTCTTTCTAAGCACTATTTCCCACATTCTAACTTACAAACCACCTCTTTTTATCATCAAAACTATATTCACCATTTTCTCTCTCTCATTTCCTATCGCCTTTCCTCAAGGTTATTCGCCCTCTAATCTTTCAAAAGTTTCATGCAATCCGTATTTTTCCCGCCCCGGATGCGTGTCCTGATTGCGACGCCTATAGCAGCGGGCCGGAGTGACGCCGCGCCGCCCGCAACTCCCAGAATAATGATTTCAGAACCGAACGCTTGAATGTCTAATACGGAATCCCTTTACTAGTTTACGTGGGCGTGGTAGAAGAAATGAATAACTCTTTGCAAATAAAAAACAAAAACCTATTTTCATTGTATAAATCCAGGGATAACGCCAGCAATTTCCTTACAAAAATGATATATAACATTTTCCTATGCATCCTTTCATACAAAAATATAAATATTTTTTTCTCATTGTAAGGGGAGATATGGCAACTTTCATTCGGGGCCGTACTAATGCGTCGAAACGGGCCGGTAGTTAGCTGGGGGGGAAGGGGGAGGTTGAACTAATAATAACCGCAATGGTATGATGATTGTGGTTGCTGTTATTGTTGCTGTTGCTGTTGTTGTTGGTGGTGATGATAATAGTTATGATCATGGTGATGGTGGTGGTGGTGATTATGACATTAACAATAACAACGATAATAACAACCGTGAGGCTGCTGATACTGATGGTGCTCCCAGTGACGCTAATGACGATTATGAAAGCGATAATGAAAATCAACATGACAACAACAACAACGCCCAAATCATCAAGATCCTAGAAAAATATCCCCCTAAAACCGAATCCGTCACGGCAACAGGAAAAATCCCAACCTTCCCCAACTCGAACCGGATTTAACAATACTAAAACACGAAACCCGGTTTTCCTCGCCCCGCCCTCGCCTCCACACGCCAATCTCGACCGTATTTATACTCGTCATCAACTCAAACTTCGTCAACTTTGAACTACATCATCAACTCAAACTACATTAACTTCAAACTTCGTCATCAACTCAATCTTCATCAACAAACTTATTCATCAACTTCGAACTTCGTCATCAACTCAAGCTTCACCAACTTCGAACTTGTTCATCAACACGCATGACGTGATGTCTGAAATCCGACTGACCCACGGTTGCGATTTTCGGCCTTGGACAGGTGAGGAAAATTTCCGACAAGTCATTCATTTTTGAAGGACTTGTCGAAAATAGCTTTAGTGACAAAAGTCTCCTTTATCAACAGACCTATGATAAGGTATAGTGTCTTCCTTTCTCTGTCATCGTATAAATACCTAATTCCCAAGAATTAAGACTATAAATAAGCGTAAACACAGCCTCCCAGATGAATAAAATCTAATATTGCCTCATACTCAGTGGCTTCTCTCCGCCCCTCCTCCAGACCAGTGCCTTTGACCCTGCGCAACGTCGCGGAAAAACATAATCTATATATTTGCAGGCCGGAAGGGCTTTGGGTACACGCCGGGCACGTCCGACGATTGGGAATGACGAGTAGGTTCTGAGGAGGGCGCGGGACATGTGGGAGAGGGAGGGGAGGGGGGGGGGTGACCGGCATCTTCGAACTGTCACTTGTATGCGAGAGAGGGAGGCGTGTGGCTACCAATTTCGTCGGACACTCTGGACTTATCCTAACATGCCCCTGGGTCCTACGAGTCTAAAATTATCCCGACATGTTCCAGGGACCTAGGAGAGTCTAAGATGTGTTCACAGGATATAATATGTCCATTAAAGTTTAGGATAACTAGATACGACGAAAGGGTTGTGAATCAATTAAAAAACACCTAACGGGAGATTGTTGAAAGCTCGACTGTCCGAAGCGTTCCTACAGAGTTTTCAGCAAGCTAAGAATCTATTCGAAGCTTTGCTGCCTGGAACTGCTGGGGACAAGATCAGGTGATAGAAACATCTGATTTGGAATAAGAACAGATGATAAAACCACCGTCACGTGTCGTAGCGACTAAGAGTGTACCCGAACACGACGCAATGAATCAAGGAAAGTTTAACAAGAAAAAATCACACCTCCAAGAACTCTAAAATATCTCCTATGGAAAGATTAACACACAAAATGCATACCTAGAAAGTCTTCTAAGAGAAGTTAAAACTGCAAGATTCCTACCTTCAAAGAACTCAGGAATGTCTCCTACCATCCTACACGATGCTAAGGACAGTCTAGATTATATCATGACGTGGGCGCTGACGTGGGCATGGAAGGGGGGCTAAGATTAACTAAATTCCCTTCTCGAACACGCTGAGCAATTCTACACGGGGTCAAAAATAGTATTCTGGGAACGCCGTAAATCATTCGGAATACTGGTCTGGGAATGCGGGGTCAAAATACTCAGATCGTCGCTGTCGGGGTTGTAAATCTGAAGTCAAAGCTAAGAATCTAAAGTCGTGACTATAACTGAAGTCGGAGTTTTAACAAATCTGAAAATACAATTCAGAAACTGAACTCTGAACCAAGTAGACACCGTGAAAAACAGCCTAATATGTCAGATCTATGGCTTAATGGTGGAACAAAAGAAAAAGAAAAGTAGAAAAAAGGACAAGCTCCTTAACAGTCTCCGTTATGTTGCCTGCCGAACGCGTGTCGTAGTGCATTCGAAACCGAGTTCGATTCCATTCACGGATCTGTACTGTACTGCAACATCTTACAAAACGATGATGTGCCTTTGGAGTGTTTTTTTCTTTCTTTTTGAACAAATGGAATCCGTTTGTAATTCTATTAGTGACAAAAATATACTTCATATATATCAAGCACCTACATAAGTGGTGGTTCATGAGAACACATTTTTGATCTGCGAAAAGGGGACGTAGACTGAAGGGCAAGAGAGGGAATGGAAGAGGGTGAGAGGAATACGGATAAGAGAGGGAGGGGGAAAGGACAAGAGGATGAGGGAGAAGAAGAGACTGTGATGTTGATGAAAAGGGAGAGAGGCAAAGGGGGTTGGGAGGGAGGGAGGGAGGGAGAGAGGGAGAGAGGAAGGAAGGGAGGGAGAGAGAGAGAGAGAGAGAGAGAGAGAGAGAGAGAGAGAGAGAGTGGCAAAGGGGGTTGGGAGGGAGGGAGGAAGGGAGAGAGAGAGAGAGAGAGGGAGAGAGAGAGGGAGAGAGAGAGAGAGAGAGAGAGGGAGGGACAGGGAGAGAGGGAGAGGGAGGGAGGGAGAGAGAGAGGGAGAGGGAGGGAGAGGGAGGGAGAGAGAGAGGGAGAGGGAGGGAGAGAGAGAGGGAGAGGGAGGGAGAGAGAGAGGGAGAGGGAGGGAGAGAGAGAGAGGGAGAGGGAGGGAGAGGGAAGGAGAGAGAGAGAGAGGGAGAGGGAGGGAGAGAGGGAGGGAGGGAGGGAGGGAGGGAGGGAGGGAGAGAGAGAGGGAGGGAGAGAGGGGGGAGGGGGAGGGAGAGTGAGAGAGAGAGAGAGAGAGAGAGAGAGAGAGAGAGAGAGAGAGAGAGAGAGAGAGAGAGAGAGAGAGAGAGAGAGGAGAGAGAGGGAGAGGGAGGGAGAGAGGGAAGGGGAGAGAGAGGAGAGAGGAGAGGAGAGAGAGGAGAGAGAGAGAGAGAGGAGAGAGAGAGAGAGGAGAGAGGAGAGAGAGAGAGAGAGAGAGGGGGGGGGGGCACAAACTAACAATGTAATCATATCTTGTGTGATAACCTGCCCTTGGAGACACCGTAGCTGCCCTCACTCCCGTTTGAGTCCTGAACCCCAGCCTAACACAAGAGCCCTACCATGGCCTCAGAAGAAAAAGTCTTTCATCGGCAAAAAAATACGAAACCACAACATGGAACTTACCAGAACATCAAAGAAATGCAAATCGGTTCCTTACCTTTCCTCCAGTCTCCCCGTGGAATCAGATATATTTGTATCAAATTAAGCCTTAGATAATTAATGCACAAGAGCGCCCTGCGTTCCGTGGAGACGCAGGCCGCCCTTGCCCACCCGGAGCATGCACGGCGTGGGCATTGCAACATTGCAAAGAGAAGGGGCGTACTCAC